CTGAGCTTTTTGGAGTTCAGTTCTTGTAAGAAATCATGAACTTGTACGTCCACACCACAGAAAACCATGCAGCCGTTCAATATAAAGTCAGACAGACCTTTGTACAAACATAGAAGAATAAATGGTGTTGCATGGAGAAAGCACATGACAGAACTTGCAGAGCAATACAAGTTGAGCAGCCCTAATCCAAAAATCTGGGCTCCAGAATGTTCTAGAATCCATCACGTTGTGAGTGCTGATATGATGCCATGAGTTGAAAATTCCAAACCCAGCCTCATGTTATGGGCTTGCGGTCAAAAAGCAGCAACACAAAAGTGCTAGACAGGGCCAGCAGGTGGCTGGTGGTTAAGACACTGAATGCCCACATGGCCAACCACGGTTCAAGTCCTGGACCTGGCGGTTGGGTATGTGTGTGTGTGTGTGTGTGTGTGTGTGTGTGTACCCAAAATCCCAAGAGGAGAATGAAGGAGAAGCAGAGACTGTGGCATGGCTAGGCCCACTAGAGGGTGAGTTCTTATTATCCCTCTCTCGGTCTCCCTCTGTCTCTCTCCAGTGAGCTCACATGCCCGATGGCAAAAATCAAAAAAAAAAAAGCTGCATAGAATTCCCTTCAGCCATATACAAGGTACATATGAAACATAGACAAGATAGCTCCTTATGTATTTGCAAATATTCCAGAATCTGTCATCTGAAACACTGCTGGTCCCAGGCACTTTGGTAAGGGCTACTCATTCTGAATTATATCACGCATGTGCAGAGTGGTGAGAGGAAAGTGGAGACCGTGTTCGTTGTCAAACACTCTCACTTCCCACCTTTTGTTACCCACAGTGCCTCGTAACGACTTCATCTCTGGTTCAGAAATGCTGGGGAGATGCTGTGTGTATCGATTGTGATGTGGGACAATGTTCAGGTAAGTTTTTACACACTATGTATGACGCAGAGTAACTTCACCTCTATCAACAGCCTACACTGACGGCAGGCTGCTCAAGTATTGCCCATAACCCCGAGCGGAGGCAGCACACAGGAAATTTATCCAGGATGCGCGTGCCACTCAGCTGGCAAGGCAACGGACGCAGGTATGACAGGCAGGAGTCCCTTGAGCACATCTGGCCCAGACTTGTAGGGATCCCTTCTCACACGCAAGGAGAGGACAGAGAAAATGAGGACATGGCTGTTCCCAATGGGAGCTCCCCAGGAAACACCCCATTCTATTCTCTCATTCTTCACTCACTTCAATGCCTCAGGCCAGGCCCTGCCACTCAGGAAAGAGCTCATTCCTTCATGAGCTGCTTAGGGGGCCAAGAGCCAGGGGAGAAGCTGATCGCCTGCCCTTTACCTTTTTAATCCTAAGTCTCTCTCTCTCTCTCTCTCTCTCTCTCTCTCTCACACACACACACACACACACACACAGTGGAGACAGGGAGAAAAATTAATTAAAGAAGAAAAAAAAATAGTCTTTGTTCTCCCTGCTTGCTAAACAGCCCTGGGAAGAACTGTCTGCAGTGGATAAAAGTCAGGAATCCTAATTAGGTATTGGAAATTTAAATCTTATACAGTAATTGTCACTTTTTATTTTATATATTCAATACTGACTCAGGTTTGATTGATGGATTGATTTACAATAGCATGTGTTTATGTCATGGTTTTAAAAATCCCATAGCTTTGGGGCCAGCAGATGGCATAATAGCTACATTGCTGGACTCCCAGGTGGTCGATCGCAGTTCGAGTCCCGGACCCTGTGGCTTGAAAGTCATGCCTAGTGCATGTGCGTGCTTGCTCCCGAGAGAAGGGAGAAGGGAGAGCAGTGTGGCCAAACCCCCGGGGGGGGGGTTCTCGCTTTCAGCCCTCCGGGGAGGGATTTCTCGCTTTCTGTCTCTTTGGTGAACACATGTACCCTATGGCAAAAAAAGCTCTTTAAAAAAACAATCCCCCAGTTTGTGGAGCCTGCACATGGCATGGTGGTTGGCTTGCTGGATTCCTACACGGCCAACCATGCTCAGGTCTTGGACGCAGTGGCCCAAAAATCACAACAAATACATAGGTAAATAAATAAATAAATGTTGAAAAACTTGTTCATAAAATAGTTGAATTACGGGCAGAACTGAGAACAACAGTAGGTAACACAGGGCTATATGGGACATTAGCTGGAACATTCTATATGGAACATTCGCTCAGGAGCTGCCATCTGGGAGGATTAAGTGCTAAGGTTCTGTTGGCACTTTACAGACGTTCCCTTGGGCACCTCTTACTCAGTCTCCTACAGCTAGGATACCGTGCCTAGCAACGAGGACACCACCATGAACGAAACACACGCGGGCCCTGCCCCAGAAAGCATGCTACCACCACGGGACCGACATCCGACATGGCACTGCGCACTGCAGGCTAAGGACTGCGAAGGGGAAGTGCAGAGAGGCCAGGAAGAGCCCTGCAACGAGGCCAGCCCCATGGAGCAGTGGGTAAGCACTGTGCACAGGAAGCCAGAGCCTACATCGCTGACCACAGTCCCAATCCCAGCCCCGGCAGCTCGAAAAACAGGCCGGGCCTGTGTGCGTGTATATCCCAAACCCTGATGGGATGAAGAACGGAAGGAAAGAGGATCATGGAAAAGATTGTGGTATAACTGCACCCCCTTAGAGGGGTGCTCTCTCTCTCTCTCTCTAGTAAGTTCATGCTCCCTCTGGCACTAAAAAGAAAATCCTCACAAAGGCTCTTCAAGGGGATCTCATCCTCAGTCACGGATAAAGAATTATCACTAATATCTGTAACAGGAAAGCATACTAGTTATAAGATACCCTAAACAAATAGCAAGTATAATAATGATCAGTATGGGAAATTCTCTTATGCATATTAACAGGTCAGTGAGGGAAAAGGATGTCATCTTTAGACTTGCTCTCACCCCCAAGATAGCTCATTGTGCATATGCAAATATTCCAAAATATTTACCCAAAAGGATGAAAATAACCCAAAATATGTATCCAAAAGGATGGAAATAAATGAGGAGGAAGGTCTTAGAAGTGTTAGAGAAGGCTGACCACATGGCTGACCATGATTTGAGTCCTGGACCTAGCAGCTTAAAAATCATGCTGGGCATATGTACATGTATGCCCAAAATCCAGAGAGAAGAATGGAGGAGAAGGGATTGTGGTGTGGCCATTCCCTTTGGTTTGGGGGTGGGTGGGTGGGTGTTACTGTCTCACTTTCCCCTCTCTGTCTCTGTCTCTTTCAGGCATTGGGAAAGTCCTGACACAGCTTGGCGCAGAAAATGCGTCATGACTTGCCCGATGAACCCAAGATATAAGAACTGCCAGAGAATGCCAGTAGCATGCTGCATTCTCTCCAAGAGGAAACTTCCTCCACGCAGAGGCTCAGAGACCTATGCAGGACAGGACACCTGCCCACCCGCCAAACCACAGCACACCGACTCACAGAGGGACAGCCCAGGAACAAACACCAGCGTGGCGTTTCCCATGACAGACCTACTTTCACAGACTAGGCCCATTTTTGCCCACAGGCCACTAACACAATACAGCGATGTCAGTACTATGTCGTCAAATCACACCCAAGATTACCTCTCGAACCTACAAGTCACCCAGATCCGAGTCAGACCAAGTAACCTGTTCAGTTGGAAAACACGGCCACTTTGCTCAAAAGGCACTCATGGTAAGAGATGAGCATCTTCCATTGAGCCCACTGCCGTAAACCAAAACCCCATCAGCATGTACAGCAAGGCTTTGAGGTTGCCGTAGCGGATACTCCTGGGTTTCATAAAGTAAGAGCCCATGACGTAGAGACTGGGCAGTCCACCAGTAACCCTGACAGGTGGCTCCGCGCCTCTCTCCCTACCAGAGGTGGGATTCCAAAAACATGACAAAGACCCTCTGGACTACACACCAGTCTCTTTACTCAACGGAAAAACAAAACAACAACTCCTAGAATTCTAGGGTTAGCAGGTGGCGGGGAGGTTAAGGCACTGGATCCCACATGATCGTTTCTGTGGTTCAAATCCCGGACCCAGTGGCTTGAAAATCACACTGGGACACATGTCCATATGTGCTCAAAAATCCCTAGAGGAGACTGGAGGAGACGGGACTGCGGTGTGACCATCCGCCTGGGTACAGGGTGATTTCTCACTTTTTTTCTCTATATATCTCTGTCTCTCTGTCTCTCTGGTGAGCACACATCCCCTGCAGCAAAAAACTTTAAAAAATACTAAAAAAAATTAGAACTCTAGGAACCAGCAGGTGGAGTAATAGTTGTGTCGTTGTACTACTTACTGCATAGTTGACCATAGTTTGAGTTCCGGACCAGGAGACCTAAAACTCATGCTAGGCACGTGTGAATGCATGCTCAAAATCCCTAGAGGAGAATGGAGGAGAAGGAATTGCAGAGTGGCCATCCCTTCTTGGGGTGGGGGGTGATTTCTCACTTTCTGTCTCTCTGTCTCTGTCTCTCTGATGAGCACATGTACCCTATAACAAAAATCTCTCCAAAAAAAATTAGAATTCTAGATTGTTGGGTGTCTCCTGATACCTGTGGATTGAGTAGAGAAATGAGAGGCAGAAGGATTCAGAGTGGTGCTACTGGGACAGGCAGTCTTGGATGGGGCCTTAACACGGTTTCACTTTTGTTTCTGCTGTCACAAAATTGTCTAATAAGCACTATCTTCTATTAATGAGATGGCAAAACCATCCCGCTTCCTCTCCTCTGCATCCTCCGTGAGGCCTGGGCCTCAGAGGACGCTTAACACAGAGTTCCAAGTAGCTGTGGTGGCTCACGTCACAGCCTATCTGCCGTCCTTTGGACCACCCTCTTAAATGACACTCACGGTGACACCAAGTGGAGCCCATCGGACTTGCACTGTGGTCACGTCAGACCTGTGTTTGCAAACACGGAAATACAGATGGAGTGAAAAGGAGAGAACAAGGCTGAGGGGAAGCTACCGTCGAGTCAACGGCACTGTACTAGAACCAGGCGGAAGGTGGCAATCGCCAGTCGCTGACCTTATGCAGAGCAGGAGCCAAGACCGGCACCAAGAAGCCATTGTAAATGTAGTTGACGAGTTGGTTGCGGATCAAGGGGTGAGCCACCTACGGGAGAAACGGGCAGTCATGAAAAAGACGAACAGCTCAACCTCTGGGTCTTCTTACAAGCCAAACATTCCTGAGTCTATGCCAAAGTTAAAAAGGAAGGGCCAGCAGGTGGCATGGTGGTTAAGGTGCTGTACTCTCACATGGCTGACAGTGGTTCAAGTCCCAAACCTGGCAGCTTGCTTTCTCACCCCCTCTTTCGCTCTTTCTCTGGTGAGCACATGTGCCTTATAACAAATTTTAAAATAATAATAAAATGAAGTAAATAGTAATTTTTAAAAAAAGGAAACCCAAATATGGGCATTTATCCCATGGTTAAAGACTAACTCAGACTTCACACTAATATGTAACTTTTTTTGGTAATGGCTTATTTAAATATAGACAGTTTAGCTAAAATTCATAGAAGTCAGAGTTTCCAGGTAAAAAGCTAGGAATTTTTAGGTAGAAGCTTGAAAGAAAGAAAAAGAGAGAGGAAGACAACAAATTGACTGAGAGTATATACAGATTCACAAATTAAAACTGACAAACTGGAAAGCAAAGTTTTTGCCTCCTACTTCTAAGTTCCATCTAACTTGTGACTAATAAGAAAAGAAAAAAGAATATAGCTGTCAATAATGGACAACTGAATACATTTACTTGCTAGAAGAAGGCATTTTCTCCATTTTGACAATGTATTTTCTTAGTCATGGGGGAAAAATCTTTTCATAAAAATAATGTTCAAAGGCAGAAAACGTTATAAAAGGTACAATATTTCCTATACTTGATTTTTCAAAATGTATTTAGCAATGATAACCCGTGACAAATACTTTTTATGACTAACCTTTGCAGCAGCACCCCTAAAGAAAATATCTTAGAAGTATTAGCTTGTCAGAAGAGGAATGACGTATTTCTGTGTTCTTCTATGTGAAAAAAGGCATCATGGCTTTTCTGATAACCCAAGATATGGAATCGATTACAAAATATACTATGAAATTGGGACCAGCAGATGGTATAATGGTTACATTGCTGGACTCCCACGTAACTGACCCCGGTTCAAGTTCCGGACCCGGCAGCTTAAACTCACGCCGGGTGCGTGTGCGTGCGTGCCCAAGATCCCGAGAGACTGGAGGAGAAGGAATTGCACCATGGCCATGCCCCCTGGGGGTGATTTCTCACATTCTGTTTCTATCCCTCTCTCTCTCTCTCTCTCTCTTTCTGTCCCTCTCTCTCTCTCTCTCTCTCTCTCTCTCTCTCTCTCTCTCTGTGTGTGTGTGTGTGTGTGTGTGTGTGTGTGTGTGTCTTTCCAGTGACTGCACACGCCCTGTAGCAAAAAACCTCTAAAAATAATAATAATAATATGAAATCTATCATTTCCCTGCTCTTAACCACACCCACTAGTTTTACATCTCTTTCTTAAACAGGTGGGGGTGGGGCCAGCAGATGGCAGGGTAGTTAAGGCACTGGATTCCCACATGACTGACCATGGTTTGAGTCCTGGACCCAGCAGCTTAAAAATCATGCTGGGCATATGTACATGCATGCCCAAAATCCAGAGAGAAGAATGGAGGAGAAAGGATTGTGGTGTGGCCATTCCCTTTGGATTGGGGGTGTGGGTACTGTCTCACTTTCCCCTCTCTGTCTCTTTCTGTCTCTTTCAGACAAGTGCAAGTACCCTATGGCAAAAACTTTAAAAAAAGAAAAAGAAGAGCGGGTGAAGCAGAGAGTGACACAGTAGTAAAATGTGACACTCACATGGGAAGGTTCCAGGTTTGTGTCTGGAACTGGGTGGGCCTGTTACCCAGAGCTGGCTGAGGCTGAGGCTGGATGAGGGCAGCAAAACCTACTGGAGATGTACTGTCTCTCTCTCTCTGTCTGTCTCTCTGTCTAAACTAAAAAAAGAATAAAGTCAAAGAGAGAGTAACTGATCTTTAAATTGCTGATACCCGCTCTCTGCAGGTACATTTGGGGAGGAGATTTTTTTTTTTTTTTTTTTTTTTTGGAGAGGTTTTTGCTATAGGGCGCATGCGCTCGCCAGACAGACAGAGAGAGACAGAGAGAGACAGAAAGCGAGAAATCACCCCTCAGGAGGAATGGCCACACCGCAATCCCTTCTCCTCCATTCTCCTCTTGGGATCTTGGACACGTACGTATACGTGCCCGGTGTGAGTTTAAGTCACCGGGTCCAGGACTCGAACCATGGATGACTACATGGGAGTCCAGCGACATAGCCATTACACTAACTGCTGGTCCCAGGGTTTCGTCTTTTTTATTTCACACATTTCTGCAAGACAATGTTGACAGAACACAATATCAACAGGAAAAAAAAAAACCATAAAAATGTAATCCATTTACCTTATATACAAATAAAACTTCCTTTGACTTAGCAATAAAAATGAGATAGAAACTAAAGTAATTTAGTTTGCTCCAGAAGCTATTTCTTTATTTGGGAGATAAACAGACGCTAACTAACATTTTTCACCCTATAATCACCATAAAGAAAACTTGATTTCTTAATAAATCCAATATTAAAGAAATATTTATGCTGTATAGAAGTAAAGCGTTTTGGATGAACACCTACCACATATCCCTAAGTATATGTAAAATTTGATTTTTATTAAAAACAGCAACAAGAAAAGTAAAGGTAAAAAAATCTAATCAAGAAGCCAAATATACAAGAGTTCAGTGGAGGTTTTTCTCCCCCAAGCAGGCCAATTTCAAAGCAAATTTAATTTGTGTTTCTAAGAAGATGCTTAACTTCTTCTAAATTCAATTGGGATAACAATATTCTTTATGTAGTATGCACCATTAAGCAAAATAAAGTGTTTTCCTTTGTAAACTCCCAAAAAGACCTTGAAGTAAAAGTGGTGTAATTTGGAGTACTTAGAAGACTAAAAATATCTATTTAATGAGTCAGGCACTGAACTTATTTTTTGATGTTTGAGTGGATAATCAAAACAGAATTAGCACTTTTTATAAAGAAGATAAAATCTACGCATTTTTGTCTCAATTAAAACTTCTCAAAAACCTACAAACTAACATTTTTCACTCACTCAAGGACATGCTTAAACTAGGCTTAAACTAGAGCATTGATACTGCATAAACAGCTCTTAAAAATTAAAAAAAGAAAAGAGAAACTCAATGCTCTACGCTGACTCTGCAGTGCCGCGTTCTGCATGGCACCGTGCTGCACGGCGGCCCAGGCGTGCCCTCGGCCCCGGCCATGCCCAGCCCCGGTCTGCCCTCAGCCCCGGCCTGCCATGCCCCGGCCTGCCCTCGTACCTGGATGACGGCATTGCAGAACTCCAGGGAGTTCATGAACTGGACGAGGGACGGCAGCAGCAGCCAGTCGTCCTTCAGGAGGCAGTGCCACTCCTCGCCTTTCTCCTCGAGCTTCGTGGGCAGCGAAGAGTAGAGCCCGCTGAGCCCCGTGGCAAGCACCTGTGTATGGGAAGAAACGTGTAAGGGGAGGGGGCAGATGGCATAGCAGTTAACGTTGCTGGGCTCCCACATGGCCAGCCACAGTACAAGTCCCAGATCGGGTGACTTGAAAATCACACTGGGCGCGTGTGTGTGCGTGCCCAAGATGCCAGGAGGAGAAAAGATTGCAGCATGGCCAAGCGCTCTGGGAGGTGATTTCTCACTTTCCCTCTCACTGTCTTGGTCTCTCTCTCTCCAGCCAGCACACACACCTTAAGGTTAAAACCTCAAAAGAAAGAAAGAGAGAGAGAGAGAGAAAGGAAGGAAGGAAGGAAGGAAGGAAGGAAGGAAGGAAGGGAGGAAGGGAGGGAGGGAGGGAGGGAGGGAGGGAGGGAGGGGGGAGGGGACGATGGGGAGAGAAAGAGAGAGAGAGGGAGAAGAAGAAAGAAAGAAAGAAAGAAAGAAAGAAAGAAAGAAAGAAAGAAAGAAAGAAAGAAAGAAAGAAAGAAAGAAAGAAAGAAAGAAAGAAAGAGAAAGAAAGAGAACTTCTCCAAAGTCCTCCACCTGCTACTAACAGCTCACAGACAATGTGGGTGCTCCTGGTCCAGAGGCGGAACTTCAAGGAGCGACACATTAAAGGGCACCAGCCGGCTGAGAAGGACTCACAGGTGGAGACGGAGGGAAGGACGACTCCAGGGGAGGGGACGGCAGAGCTGGGGCACCTGGGCAGATGGATGTGGGTAGCAGGTGCTTGGTCCTTACATGCTGGTCACTACTGGACTGGGCTGGGAGAATCAAGGGCTACATCCTGAGATAAATAAGTTATGAGTCCTGCCCCGGAAAGTTCTGGAGAGGGGCAAGCTCACAGGCCACATGTCACAGTGCAACATGGCAAGTGCAGATATGGAGAAGGCATATCCCCCATCCACAGGAGGAAGCTCTGGATCGAGGTGGTCCGGGACAGGAGGTAGCACAGGCAGAAATCAAGAGAAGCTTTTTGAGAAAGATTCCTGGAAATTCCTTTCACATCTAAGGCCATGCCTGACACTCGCACTGTTAGAGTTTACAGAACACATTTTTAAATAGTATTGTTGCAGAAAAACAGATGCTGAAGGATGAAAGAGCAGCACTCTGGAGAGAAAGAAAGGAGAACTCTATTAATCCGCTAGCGGGCACGGAGGAGTTACCACTGTGAATCTCCGTCCCCCACCCCCCGTGAGGGTCAAGCACAGTCTTTTATGGGTGAATTGGGGAGGGGCAGTTTCAGCAGGCGTGGAGTGTCCTATGAGGAAGGGCCTCAGTGTCTGCCCTAACACAGAGCTGGCAGAGAAGCAGGGAATCAAGGCCTCAGACAGCTCAGGGAGGGGCAGCGAACTCTCGGGGAACCAGAAGGCCTAGGCAGCTAGCAGCTTCTCTCCTTCTTTTTCTGTCAGAGGGTGAATGTGCGTGCCAGAGACGGAGAGAGAAAGCGCTCTCCCACGGGGTGTGGTCACGCCACAATTCTTTCTCCTGTACCTTCTCCTTCCCACCAGGATTTGGGCACTTAAGTGCTCCTGCATGGTTTTCAAGCCACCAAGGCCAGGATTTAAATCGCAGTCAGGGGCGAGCAGGTGGTGTGGTGGTTAAGGCGCTAGACTCCCACATGGCCAACCAACGTTCAAGTCTCACACCTGGCGGCTTGCTTTCTCTCTCTCTCTCTCTTTCTCTCTCTCTCTCTCGTTCTCTGGTGAGCATACATGCCCTGTAGAAAATTTAAATAATAATGATAATAAATAAATAAATCACAGCCAGCCATATGGGAATCTGGCTCCCGAACCATTAGGCTAAAGGGCCAGCCCCAGATGAACTTTTCAATCCTATCAAGAGATTATGGGGGAACCAGCAGTTAGCGTAATGACTATGTTGCTGGATTCCCACGTAGTCGACCGCGGTTTGCATCCTGGACCCGGTGGCTTAGAACTCACGCCGGGCGCGTGTGCGTGTGTGCCCAAGATCCCGAGAGGAGAATGGAGGAGAAGGGATTGCGACGATCAACCCTGGGGGGGTGATTTCTCGCTTTCTGTCTCTCTGTCTCTCTCTGTCTGTCTGGCGAGCGCATGAGCCCTACAGCGAAAAAAAAAAAAAGAGAGAGATTATGTACATTTCTATTTTCTAGTCATCTTCATTCACACATTTATTCAGCCCTTTGTTCAAAAGAATGCTGAGTGGGGCCAACAGGTGACATGGTGACCAAGGTGCTGGATTCCCACATGGCCAACCACGGTTCAAGCCCTGGACCCAGAGGCTTGAAAAATCACACCCAGGCGCATGTGCGTGCGTGCCCAAAATCCTAAGAGGAGAATGGAGGAGAAGGGACTGCAGCATGGCCATCCCCTTTCTCACTTTTCCTCTCACTCTGTCTCTGTCTCTGTCTCTCTGACGAGTGCGTGCACCCTATGGCAAAAACCTACAAAATAAAAATAAATAGAATGCCAAGCACCTCCTTCAGAGCACGCACCAGGTTGAAGGCGGGAAGTACAGAGAAAAGGACATTGCCTTGTGCCTCTTCTTCAGAATCAGGGCCTCTGTGACACCACAGGAAAACGTCCCCTCTGTGTCGTGTTTAACTCCTCCCTAACATACCTAAACCAATCGCCCTGCTTCCAGTCTCGACCGTGACCCCAGTGACTTGCCTGTTACAAGTTAGAAACCTCTGGCAAAAGAGAACAGAGACCACGAGTTCTCCTTGAAGAGAAATCTAATCTCGATGCCACATTTTTAAAATCAATTACATTTGCTAACTCATGCTAAATTAACCACAGAACAAAGGCTTTAATTCTGCCGACTCCGGATTTCTCAACCACTTTGAGGCTTTGAAGAGGAATTCATAAAGACAGGCTTAATTTGTCTGACTAAAAAGCTGGGAATAACTATTCAGTAGATCAATATAATTACAGCAACATTAATTTTCAAATTACATACATCAGTGACAGTAATTAAAAATAACACATACCTCGTATTCGCTTTTTAAAATGACTATTCAGAAAAGGACACGGCTAAGATGCGGACAGAGCTGCCCCGACAGGAGGGCGGCCCGGATGGAGGGTACCCCCTGTGCGCAGGGCACGTCTGTGGAAAGATGCTGCCCATGTGGAGGGACACGGCCTGAACAGGACACTCCCTGTACAGAGGGACAACGCCTGTGTGGGAGGACACGGCCTGAACAGGACACTCCCTGTACGGAGGGACAATGCCCGTGTGGAGGGACATGGCCACTACCTGTCCAGAAGGACACACTCCGTATGCAGAAGGGAAGGACAGAGGGACACCACCTACACAGGAAGTCCTGCCGCGCTCCTGCCCCTACAGAGTGGGGCTTGGCCATGTCTGTTCTCGTCCCCAGGACGGCAGACATGAGAGAAGCTCCCCGTGACACGGGGTACACAGTCCGAAGGACACGAGCCCCAGTCTGCAGTGCAGTCGGCATCCTCGTTCCCAAGGCCACGCTCGGAGCCCAGACGCCTTCGCCCCGGCCACACGCAGTCCCGGCGCACGGACTGCGGCCAGGCACACGCCAGGCTGGTGTGGGGAAAGAGGTGAATGCGGCAGACCAGGTGAGAGGCAGAGGGGAGCAATAAACCATGAAGTGCAGGCCGGGGGCAGCCCATGCAGGAACACAGAGCTCATGCACCCTTACAGGAAGGTCACGGGTTCGCATCCCGGGGGCTCACTGTGCATGGTGGGAGCAGGTGTGTGCCCATGACCCAGCTGGCTGAGGCTGGCATGGATCGCCGCATCCAGACCTTGCGAGGGTGTGTTTCTCTCTCCCTTTCCCTCCCTCCCTCTCTCTCTCTTTCTCTCTCTCTCTCGGAAGAAATAAAGAAACTTTAAAAATAAAACGACCTCAAAACTAATAAATGCAAGCAGGACAACTGTTACCTAAAGAGACACAGGGAGCGCTGCGGGGACAAGATGAGGGAAAAGCAAACCGGTAAGTAATTTTTCTAAGTTCAAGAGATTAATAGCTCAACCTGTTAACGTTCAGATTTCCTTTTTTAACTTAAAAATGAATTATAAAAAAGTACATACTTGTGTGTATTTGACGGCTAATAGAAATGCTCTTATTTTAGCCTTTGATACTGATAATTGTCAACATTATGTATATTTCCAATACATTAAGTATTAACCCAATATTCACCATTTATCTTCTCCGAAGACTCTCCTTAAGAAAAATAAAAATTAAATCATTTAAAATTTTAAAAAACTAAACACCATAAAACTATATGGATAACAACAGACAGGAAAGCACGCAACCAGGGCCCAGCAGGTGGAATGGTGGTTAAGGCGGTGGAGTCTCACATGGCCGACCACAGCTCGAGTCCCGGACCTGGTGGCTTGCTTTCTCACTTTCTTTCTCTCTCTTTCTCTCTCTGTCTCTCTCTTGTCAAATTAAATAATAATAAATAAAATTAAATAAATAATTCTTTAAAAATATGTGTGTGTATGTGTATGTATATGTATGTAGGTAGGTATGAGTGTATGTATAAAAAGCAAATAACCAGGGCCAACTGGTGGCATAGTGGTTAAAGTGACTGGATCCCAAATAACCAGCTGCGTGATTCAAGTCCAGGACCCGCCAGTTTGAAAAAGCACATGTGCATCTCTCCCCAAAAGAACTGTTGTGTGGCTATCTTTTCTCATTTCTCCCTCTCTCTGTCTCTCTCTGGCAAGCACACATGCCCTGTAGCAACAGCAACAACAAAAAAGTGTTAGAAATGTTTAAAAACAAACAACGAATATCCTCCTGACAACAGCACGGCATTTGCTGAGACCACGAATTTTAGTATCAGACTAACACGGTTTTGAAGCAAACTCTGCCATGGACAGACAGTTCCAGTTCTCTACGCTTCCGTTTCTTCACTGAGCTGCTACAAGGATTTAAGAAGACAGGGCCTGTAACAAGATGAGCATTAAACCCTGATGGTTTACACAACGCCATGTTTCCAAGGGAGGCAAGAACGATGACACACACCGTCAAATAA